AGAGCAGACTCAGCTCGGGGCAGAGAAGGTGGTGTCATAGCTTATTTTAGTTGTGCCGTCTCTCCTCCATTTCTTATTTCAGTTAACCCAATAAACCCAATAGATATTCTATGGGTTAAACTCAAACTCTCAAGGTCTATCTCACTTCTACTTGGAGTCGTGTATCGTCCCCCGCAGAGTTCTCCCCACGAAAGCCAACTACTTATTGTCCAGTTAAAGTCAATAAGTGGCCCCCATCCTTTCGCCCACCTTCCAATTACTGGGTCTTGATTGGCTCAGTGCATACTCTTCGGACCTTTCTTTTGGCCATCCTCTTATCGATTTAGTACTAGAAAACCCCTGGACTCAACACGTAGGTCAATCTACGAGGTTCCACCCGGGCCAAACCCCTTCATTGCTAGATCTGATTATAACGAATGAAGAAAATCAGATCGACGTGGTAAATTTTCTTCCACCTCTCGGAAAGAGCGATCACGTAGTCCTGTTTTTTGACTACCTTACGAATTGGAAAACCAAAATACAATGCCCACAAATGGTCAGATCCTTAGGGCTTACAAATTTCGGTTCCTTAAGAGGGTTTCTTAGGGCACAGTTTAACGGTCTTCCCCTAGACCTGCCAGTAGACAATCTTACATAACATAGAACAAATCGTCACTTCAGCTTGTTAGAACGGGGCCTGAGCAACCCCTCCGATCGCGCACGCCTTCGAGCCAGGCCACACGCACGCGCGCAATGCTCCAGACAGGCTGAACCTGATTGGATGATCACAGAACGTGTCAGCCAAATGTTTGTCCAATCGATCAATCGATATGTCAAGGACACAATCTGATTGGTGCGTCACTGCGCCGTTCTTGTATGCACGATTAGTTCCATATGTTTTGCGTATCGATAAATTAGCAAGGATTATACTCTGACTGTGTCTCAACCTGTGTTCTCTCTCTACGTTGTCGTTGGGGGTTAAGCAAGAGTCGCGCGTGTCATTCGTACACCTAGATCAAAGACTACACAGCTAACGAGCGATTTGTTCCCCGTGTTCTCGCACGCTCCAGTTCTAAACCACCTCTCCCTCGGCCCATCCGTAGGCTTTTATATGAGCTGTCTAGACTGTTTGCAAGATACAAGCAAACGGGGCTCAAAGCTGATGGACTAGCCTTCAAAAGGCTCAGGAACATCTGCCGCTCATATATTAGAGATCACACGCTGCGCACGCAAAGAGCTATACTTGAACGAGTTCAAAAAGTACAGCGCTCCTCTACAAGTAAATTTGTCGACTTCGCGGCACACCTCACCCCCCTCTCGCCCTCAAGTTACCAGATGGGACAGAAGTAACTGTTCCTTCACAAATTGAGGGCGAATTTAAAAAACACTATAAGGTCATCTTCAGCTCCGCTCCCATCAATACCCACCCTAAACTACAGAGCTTTCCATTAAACTCTACGCTCAGTCGTACCACTTTATTACAGTTGAACGTTGGGAAAAAACTACGAAACCTCAACCCTCACTGTTCATTGGGGCCGACAAAGTACACCCTAGAATTCTTAAAGAGTCGGCTGATATTTCAGCTGGCCCATACACCCGACTCTTTCAACGGTGTATGCATGAAGGGATATTCCCTTATCGCTGGAANAAGCCGCAGTTCTCTCCCCTATAAACAAAATAGTTAGTAGGTTCCTTCCAGTAAGCTACCGTCCTACCTCCCTGACTAGCGTCCCGAGCAAATATCTAGAGCGCATGCTAAAAGAGGCCATATTGAAGCGCCTCTGCGCCAATGATTTACTTTCAACCCTTCAGCACAGGTTTCTACCAGGCAGATCTTGCATCACCAATATGCTGACTATCCTGGATAGTTTAACAAAGGCTTATGATGAAGGCCAAATCTCGTACATAGATATTGCCAAAGCCTTCAACAAGGTCCCACCCGTCCCACTCATACACAAGCTAGGGGCGTGTGTTATCGTTGATCCTCTTCTATCGCGTATTTGCAGCTTTCTCTCTGGCCACACTTTTTCTGTAAGGGTGAACGGTACATTATCCTAACCTTCCCCTATTACAACCGGTATTACTCAGGGATCTGTTCTCGATCCTCTTCTCTTCCTTATTTATATTAACGATCTACCCAGTGCATTACCTGCATACGTAGCTATGTACGCAGATGATGTCACTATCTAAAGTACAGATACCCGCATGCTACAGACATCTATCAATGTTGTTAAACACTGGTCCGTTCAATGAAATCTGCCCATCAATGATGGCAAATGTGTGGGCATGACTTTTGGGAACTCCCTCTCGTCTCGTTTCATATAATTGGTAGGCAACCTCTTCAGCATAACAACTTACACAAGGTCCTAGGCTTCTGGTTAAATAATTACCTCTTTTTCCACCATAACCAGTTAGCCAGTAAATCTGCTTTCCGTGTTCTTCAACTTTTTCGAAGGTCTTTCTCCCATATCACCAAGAAAGACTTCCCCCTTATTTTTGACACCTATATCTGTCCTCCTTTAGAACATGGTAGTCAAGTTGTTCACTCCGGTCTGATCCGAGCTCGTGATGCTCTTGAACGAGTTTAAAGAGCGGCAACAAAAATGATGGTTGGATTGAAACACCTTCCTCATCCTGAACTTTTAGTGGATCTTGATCTCTATCCGATGGAAGTCAGACGAATAAGTGGTGACTTATTCATTCTACATCACCTATTCTCCTCGGGCCTAGTAGATAAGTTTTTCATTTTAGCGCCCACGGGTGGAACACGGGGTAATGGCAGTAAGCTACACAAACCTCAACCATGCACCACACTTCATACGTCTTTCTTCACCTTCAGGGTACTGACTCCCTGGAACGCATTGCCAGTAGAGAAAGTCTCTTTAATAAGCAAAGCGTCATTCAAGTCTCGACTTGATAAGTATCTAGGTCTAGTTGTCTGCTATTGAGTCCTCCTTTAAAAAAAGTTTTGTTTATAAAAAAAACGTTTTTTATTTTTATATTTACTGTAGCTCTCTTCTAGTTATTTATGCCTTTCCTCATTTACTACAGCAAATTGTTACATTTATTAATAATGTTGCCAGTATAACTAGCATCGCTAGTCTCCGGGAAAGACGATATTTTGCCACTCCAGTTTTCTCTGATTTTCCAGTTGCATTCTCCAAGAACAGAAGACAAGAAACCACCAAGGATCCGGGACCATTGGGCGCCAGTCTCCTAGCCGAGAGTCACTTCAAGATTTCCACAGAAAGTCGTCTAACTGACGCTTGAACGTTTGGTCATTTTCTCCTCTGCCACGTCTTCCGGTAGCATATTCTACATACTGGTCCCCCGACGAGATGAACAGTAGACCAGCAGTAATCCTACCGTGTGCTGTTTTGCTAGGGTTACTCCGTGTTCCCTCATACGGTTGTGCTCTCGAAGCGGAAGCATCGCCCGTAGTTCTCAACCCGGGTCTCCGCGGATGATGCGTCTTGTGTAGATTAAATTGATTCTCAGCCGCCTGTAAGCTAGTGGAAACAACCCCGTAGCTTGTAGGCGTCCTTCGTAGTTAATCCCACATTTCCCGGCAACGAAGCGTGCTGCGCTGCGTTGTGCTCGTTCCGGCTTCTGTGATTCTGCCTTAGTGCATGGGAACGACGCAGGTCCGCCCTATTCCAATCTCGAGCGCACATGTTAGGCGCATAGAACTTCGTATGCACTCATGGAAAATCCACCAAAAGACTGTCGTATGACTCGCAGCATTCGCCAGGCCGACGCACATACCCTGTCGAAGTGGTTACTGGTCTTTAGGTTGGAAGCCACGATTACCTCCAGATCCTTTTCGCAAGTTGATGAACGAAGAGGATTTCCGTTTATGGTGTACTCCACGGTACCTTCTGCTGGACCATGTGCGCACACTTCGAGGTGTTAATTGACAGAGACTATCTCGCGGACCAGCGCTCCAGGGCTATCACGTCTTCTTGTACAGAACGGATGTCATCATCCGAGGTAACCGCCCGCCACAGCTTGAGATCATAGGTGTACATTAGGCACTGGGATCGTAGGGTAGCCGGGAGGTCGTTGATGTAGGCCAGGAAAGGTAAAGGGCCTAGAACAGAACTTTGCGTCACACCCCTAGAAGCTCCATATCAACGTGGTGTTGTCTGAGAAACTCGGACACAGAATGTGCGCCCTCCCAGGAAATCTGCTATCCAACAAACCAATGAGTCCCCGATACCAAGGGTTCTCATTTTTAACAATAATCGATCATGCGGCACTTTGTCAATGGCTTTGCTGAAATCAACGAAGATGACGTCCGTAGGGTGCCCCATTGCCTTATTCTTCAACCACTGTTCCCGTACTAACAGCACATTTGACGAGTAAGATCTCTCTTGCGGAATCCGTGTTGCTGTTCGCACAAAAGACCATTGGCTGCTAGATGCTGATGGATCTGTTTGACTAGCAGTCGCTCCAATGTTTTACCAAGCACAGAAGTCAGGCTGACCGTTGGGTAATTGCACGGATCCTCCTTCCGTCCGTTTTTATACAGTGCAACTTTGACCACCTTCTTCCACTCCTGAGGTAGTCTTTCCTCCGTGACGGACGTATTGGACAGGAGTGTAACAGGAGGGGTCAATGCCTCGGCGAGCTATTTGACCACTAACGGATGGACACCATCCGGTCCAGGAGACCGTTTGGTTTTGATCGATTACAGAGCCGCAAACGCCGCCCCTTCGGTTATCTCGTCAAAGTGCATAGGACTTGTGCCATTGGGTACCGGTGGGGTGGTATCTCCTGGCCCATTCTCATACACGGAGTGGTAATGCACAGCGAAAAACTTCGCTTTCCTCTCGTCTGAGTCAACCAGTATGCCGTCGTCCAGGAGTTCTGGGATGGCCGCTGTGGTCCTTGTTCTTCTTCTCAGGTAAGCGAAGAGACGTTTTGGCGCTTTTACGGAGTCAGCTACCAGGGCATCTTCAAATTCTCGGCAGTTACGTCTCTTGAGCTCCGTACGTTGATTTCGGATTTCCCGGTAGCATTCATAACCCTCCCCTGTCGATATCATTTCCAAGCTCGGTTCCTCCGTCTGAGGAGTTGGCATTAAACCAAGGTGGACCTCTGGCATGCGTCCGTTGCCGAAACGGTGGTGCCTGGGTTTGACAAAGATGAACAAAACCATCCTTTGTGGTCTCCCAGGCGCTATCAACCTTGAGGGTACCACGACAGGTTTGACGCTGCGACTCTTGCCTCCTCGAATGACATCCGCCAGATGTTCGGTCTGCCATGTGGCCTCGATACCAACTTGCCGCCTCTATTCCAGCAGATTTCCAGCATGACATGATCACTGCTACCCAGTGGTGGTAGGTAATGGATTCCCCGAACATCGGGCTGCCGCGGAGAGATTACCGAGTCAAGTAGGAAGGCGTGATCTGCCTGTGTCCTGGTGGGTTGCGTGACGTGTTGATGGAGTGACATTTCTAGCAAGATGTACATCGGCTCGCGTGCGAATCGATCTGATTCCGCTTGGCACTGTTGGTTGATCCAATCGATGCTTGGGGAATTGAAGTCCTTCATGATGAGACAGTGACCGCTGTTCGCCCATTGGCGCATTCCTGTGAGTATTTTGAGGACATTTGCTCCGGGAGAACGGAAGATAATACCGATAGACTCGTAGCCTCTGGCCGTCAGTTTTATTCGACACCGTAGGCTCTCGCCGTATCCCGCAGGGTCCCTATGACAGACTAATTGGACTGTGGGTATATCTGCGCGCACTTACGGTGCCACTCCTCCGCCGCCTCTGGTACATCTATCGACGCGGTAGAGGGTGTACCCTGCGATAGCGACATCCGTGTCTGAAACATCATCCGTGAGCCACGTTTCTGTTAGCGCCACGATCTTCGGTGCCTTGCGTGATACCAAGGACTCTAGGTCGTCTCGCTTTTTCAGCAGTCCTCTTACGTTGGCCAGCAGTATGTAGGCCTGCCGGCATTGATCAACCGCAGGGCCCTCACCGAGACGCCCCCAGGGGAATCCAATTCAGCTGGAGCCTCCTCCTTAGAACCCGAAAATCCCGAATGTAGAGGTTACTCTCTCCACTAGCCCTGCGCTCGTGTAACTCACTTAGAGCTGCCTTCAGACTTTCTCTGTCTTCCGGTTCCAGGTGTAGACGTAACATCTCTTCTTTCCGTCTATAGACTCTCTGGAGAATCAATTTTACCTCGTCCTCTGACCCCAAGACTATTTTCAGCGGGCGTCGGTTTCCGTTTTCTTTCATCTTTCCCAGACAAAAGACGGCTTTTACCTTCAGATTGATGGTCAGATCTTGCTCCCCCGGGGAGAATAATTTGGTGAACATTTCGCGTAGCTTTGCTACATCATGCTTGAGGCGCTCTTGTGCCACTGGTGTTGTGGCCTCCGGAATGTTGAGGCCCAGGAAGCATTGCTTACGGGAGGGTAATAACTTCCTTTGCTTATCCATGACCTACGTTCACTGAGCCGCGTTCTACTGCGTTCCACTTTTGGTGTCCGCTTGTACAACATCGATAGATTCTGATGCAGCATGGGCGCGTTCGGTAACTCCGAGATCGATTTTCTCGGTTTGATCATTGTCTGTAACTGAATTTTGCTTTTTAGCCACCTTTCTTATGGAACCACATTTAATGGGTGGAGTAGATGATAGAGCTTTTGTTGATGGAGAGTAAGTCGGTTGGTGGTGAATCACTGTGATGTCTAACTCCGATAGCGATAATTCTGCACCACCTATGATGTCCAGACGTGATGGCACTCGGCAGTTATTGCACACAATTCTCACAA